TTAATATTTCCATGTTTTATTGCCATCATCCTCATAACATTATCTACATGTAGAAAGGATGAAAGCAACTGGGAAAAACATCCTTGTAGCTAATCAATATTTGATTAACAATCAAGTCTCCTTTGATTTTTTAATATTTCCATGTTTATTGCCATCATCCTCATAACATTATCTACATATAGAAAGGATGAAAGCAACTATGAAAAACATCCTTGTAGCTAATCAATATTTGATTAACAATCAAGTCTCCTTTATTTTGTTAATATTTCCATGTTTATTGCCATCATCCTCATAACATTATCTACATGTAGAAAGGATGAAAGCAACTGTGAAAACATCCTTGTAACTAATCAATATTTGATTAACAATCAAGTCTCCTTGATTTTGTTATGTTTATTTCCATCATTTAACATTGCCATCATCAACTAAAAAAAACATTATCAATACATGTAACAAAGGATTTTGATTTCCAATTGCATAACATTAACTATGCAAAAAAACATCCTTGAAGCTAATCAATATTTGATTAACAATCAAGTCTCTATGATTTTGTTAATATTTCCGTTTATTGCCATCATCCTTCTACATGTAGAACGGATGAAATTGAAAAAAACATCCTTTTAGCAAATCATTTGATTAACAATCAAGGTCCTTGATTTTGTTAATATTTCCATGCCATCATCTTCATAACATTAACATCTAGAAAGGATGAAAGCAACTGTGAAAAACATCCTTGTAGCTAATCAATATTTGATTAACAATCAAGTCTCCTTGATTTTGTTAATATTTCCATGTTTATTGCCATCATCTTCATAAATTATCTACATCTAGAGTAAGGATGAAAGCAACTGTGAAAAAACATCATTGTAGCTAATCAATATTTGATTAACAATCAAGTCTCCTTGATTTTGTTAATATTTCCATGTTTATTGCCATCATCCTCATAACATTATCTACATGTAGAAAGGATGAAAGCAACTGTGAAAAACATCCTTGTAGCTAATCAATATTTGATTAACAATCAAGTCTCCTTGATTTTGTTAATATTTCCATGTTTATTGCCATCATCCTCATAACATTATCTATATGTAGAAAGGATGAAAGCAACTGTGAAAAACATCCTTGTAACTAATCAATATTTGATTAACAATCAAGTCTCCTTGATTTTGTTAATATTTCCATGTTTATTGCCATCATCCTCATAACATTATCTATGTAGAAAGGATGAAATGAAAACATCCTTAACTAATCAAAAAACATCCTTGATTTTGTTATATTTCCATGTTCGTAATCATAAATATTTACATTAAAAAAGGATGAAATCAAAGAAAACATCTCCAATATTTGAGTCTCCTTGATTTTGTTAATATTTCCATGTTTATTGCCATCATCCTCATAACATTATCTATATGTAGAAAGGATGAAAGCAACTGTGAAAACATCCTTGTAACTAATCAATATTTGATTAACAATCAAGTCTCCTTGATTTTGTTAATATTTCCATGTTTATTGCCATCATCATCATAGAAAGGATGAAAGCAACTGTATCTAATCAATATTTGATTAACAATCAAGTCTCCTTGATTTTGTTAATATTTCAATCATCATCCTCATAAATTATCTACATGTAGAAAGGATCCTGTGAAAACATCCTTGTAGCTAATCAATATTTGATTAACAATCAAGTCTCCTTGATTTTGTTAATATTTCCATGTTTATTGCCATCATCCTCATAACATTATCTATATGTAGAAAGGATGAAAGCAACTGTGAAAAACATCCTTGTAACTAATCAATATTTGATTAACAATCAAGTCTCCTTGATTTTGTTAATATTTCCATGTTTATTGCCATCATCCTCATAACATTATCTACATGTAGAAAGGATGAAATCAACTGTGAAAAACATCCTTGTAGCTAATCAATATTTGATTAACAATCAAGTCTCCTTGATTTGATTTAATATTTCCATGTTTATTGCCATCATCCTCATAACATTATCTATATGTAGAAAGGATGAAAGCAACTGTGAAAAACATCCTTGTAACTAATCAATATTTGATTAACAATCAAGTCTCCTTGATTTTGTTAATATTTCCATGTTTATTGCCATCATCCTCATAACATTATCTATATGTAGAAAAGGATGAAAGCTAACTATTTGAAAAACATCCTTGTAACTAATCAATATTTGATTATTATCAAGTCTCCTTGATTTTGTTATGATTTTGTGCCATCATCCTCATCCTCATAACATTATCTATATGTGAAAGGATGAAAGCAACTGTGAAAAACATCCTTGTAACTAATCAATATTTGATTAACAATCAAGTCTCCTTGATTTTGTTAATATTTCCATGTTTATTGCCATCATCCTCATAACATTATCTATATGTAGAAAGGATGAAAGCAACTGTGAAAAACATCCTTGTGCCTAACTAATATTTGATTAACAATCAAGTCTCCTTGATTTTGTTAATATTTCCATGTTTATTGCCATCATCCTCATAACATTATCTCTATGTAGAAAGGATGAAAGTTAAACAAAAAAAACATCCTTGTAACTAATCAATATTTGATTAACAATCAAGTCTCCTTGATTTTGTTAATATTTCCATGTTTATTGCCATCATCCTCATAACATTATCTCTATGTAGAAAGGATGAAAGCAACTGTGAAAAACATCCTTGTAACTAATCAATATTTGATTAACAATCAAGTCTCCTTGATTTTGTTAATATTTCCATGTTTATTGCCATCATCCTCATAACATTATCTATATGTAGAAAGGATGAAAGCAACTGTGAAAAACATCCTTGTAACTAATCAATATTTGATTAACAATCAAGTCTCCTTGATTTTGTTAATATTTCCATGTTTATTGCCATCATCCTCATAACATTATCTATATGTAGAAAGGATGAAAGCAACTGTGAAAAACATCCTTGTAACTAATCAATATTTGATTAACAATCAAGTCTCCTTGATTTTGTTAATATTTCCATGTTTATTGCCATCATCCTCATTAATATTATCTATATCCTTGTAACAGAAAGGATGAAAGCAAGTCTCCTTGATTTTGTTAATAAAAACATCTATATGCAGAAAGGATAACTGAAAAAATCAATAATTTGATTAACAATCAAGTCTCCTTGATTTTGTTAATATTTCCATGTTTATTGCCATCATCCTCATAACATTATCTATATGTAGAAAGGATGAAAGCAACTGTGAAAAACATCCTTGTAACTAATCAATATTTGATTAACAATCAAGTCTCCTTGATTTTGTTAATATTTCCATGTTTATTGCCATCATCCTCATAACATTATCTATGTAGAAAGGATGAAAGCAACTGTGAAAAACATCCTTGTAACTAATCAATATTTGATTAACAATCAAGTCTCCTTGATTTTGTTAATATTTCCATGTTTATTGCCATCATCCTCATAACATTATCTATATGTAGAAAGGATGAAAGCAACTGAAAAACATCCTTGTAACTAATCAATATTTGATTAACAATCAAGTCTCCTTGATTTTGTTAATATTTCCATGTTTATTGCCATCATCCTCATAACATTATCTATATGTAGAAAGGATGAAAGCAACTGTGAAAAACATCCTTGTAACTAATCAATATTTGATTAACAATCAAGTCTCCTTGATTTTGTTAATATTTCCATGTTTATTGCCATCATCCTCATAACATTATCTATATGTAGAAAGGATGAAAGCAACTGTGAAAAACATCCTTGTAACTAATCAATATTTGACTAATCGTCTCCTTTGATTTTGTTATTTTGTTTATTGCCATCATCCTCATAACATTATCTATATGTAGAAAGGATCTGAAAAAACCTTGTAACTAATTTGATTTAATCATGTCTGATTTTTGTTAATATTTCCATGTTTATTGCCATCATCCTCATAACATTATCTACATGTACTAAAAGGATGAAAGCAAATGATGAAAAACATCCTTTAGCTAATCAATATTTGATTAACAATCAAGTCTCCTTGATTTTGTTAATATTTCCATGTTTATTGCCATCATCCTCATAACATTATCTACATGTAGAAAGGATGAAAGCAACTGTGAAACATCCTTGTAGCTAATCAATATTTGATTAACAATCAAGTCTCCTTGATTTTGTTAATATTACCATGTTTTATTGCCATCATCCTCTTTATATTATCTACATGTACAAAGGATGAAAGCAACTGTGAAACATCCTTGTAGCTAATCAATGTTTGATTAACAATCAAGTTTCATCTACATGACACCATCTTTCTTTGTTTAGATGTTTCATTTACGCAAAGAATAACGTGTGATTTTTTTTGCATTGCCATGTTGGTAAAGATAATTTTTGTCTTGACGTATACTTAGCGGATGTATGTGTTTGTGTACATATATAATTACAGACAACTGCATGTATGTAAATATTGACGTATTCAGTCACAAATTATTCTTGCAGGTAATTAAAATCTATAAGTAAATCATTTTAAATAAATTCTAAATGATATATTATTTGAGATTGATATTTGCTGGTTTGAATGCTAAAGCATTTTAAAGAATTGAAGTATATTGTCTCTTCAAACCTGCAAATTTATAAAACAGGAGCAATTACACCTGAATGTTTGGTAAATATTTACAGAAATTTGCCACCATAATTACTAACAATGGCGTTAGGTTTCTGTTTATATACGCTAAAAATTGCATGAGATTGTGGTGTGAATATATAAGGATATGATTAGTTCATCCGTGTACACGTCTTTAAGAGCGTGTGTGTGTGTGTACTCGTATGTTTGTAAATGTTCGTAAAGATTGTAACAGGACACTCTTCCGCGTCTCCATCGCCACCGAAAGAAAATTAATAATAATCTTTATGCCTCATCGAGATCAAACAACGCGAAATACCCGGGAGGGGTGACACTTGTGCGTGTGAGGACGAAGGAAAAAGAAAATAACAAATGAATAAAAGGATAAAAAATGAAAATTAATCCATCTTGAACAGAAGATAGATAGATAGATAGATAGATAGATAGATAGATAGATAGATAGATAGATAGATAGAAGCAGTATGTAGTAGACAGACAGACACAGTATGAACAAAATGTGATAGATAGATAGATAGATAGATAGATAGATAGATAGATAGATAGATAGATAGATAGATATGAATAGTCTGAGATAGATATGAACAGACTAACATAGTCAGATCGATAGATAGATAGGTAGAAATAGAATGTGAAAGAAAGAAAGAAAGAAAGAAAGAAAGAAAGAATTCAGTGCTGTAATTTTGTCGGTTCAGCCCAGTATTCTTTAAAAATAATGTGATATCGGGAACATTTGATAATGGAAGAGAATCTAACGGATATATTTCAAATATCCTTCGACGTATAACCAGACAGACATTCACAGGAATGAAAAGAAATAGATATAGGTAGAAAGGGAAAGATAAAATGGGAAGAAAGAAACAAAAAAACAAACAAAGGAAGGAAGGAAGGAAGGAAGGAAGGAAGGAAGGAAGGAAGGAAGGAAGGATGAAAATGAAAGTGAATGCGATAGAAAGAGAAAGTGAAAGAAAGAAAATAAAAGAAAAAGAATAAAAATGTAGGTAATAGAACATTATTAAAAGAAAGAAAGAAAACAGAAAGGTAGAAAATGAGATAACAGAACAATATAAAATAAGGAAAGAAACAAAAAGAGAAAAGAAAGAAACAATAAAGAAACAAAATGGAGGTAATAGAAAAAGATTAAAAGGAATAAAGCAATGGCGCCAGAAAAGAATATGTTACATAGGTGGGTAGAATCGCACAGTGGAAGAAAAGCAAGCTATAGTGACAAAAAGAAAAATAAACTGAAAGAAGAAATAAAAAAAAGAATGAGTGAGTTGTAAAAGGAAAAAGAAAGCTAATATTACATAAACAAGCAGACAGAGGAAAATATATACTGAGATATCAAAGAGAGAATGGGGAAGACCGAGAGAAAACAGAGGTATAATTTGAGGGATAAAAGAAAAGACTGAAAAGTTAAAATCCCATAGATAAGTAAAGAGAAGTAGGCACAGAAGATAAAAGCGATAGATGTTCTGAGAGAAAGAAATATAATCTGAGAGAGAGAGAGAGAGAGAGAGAGGGAGAGAGAGAGAGTGAGGATCCTATTTTAAAGAGAAAAAGTTATGTGAGTAAAAATAACGAAAAAAAAAACAGTAAGAGAATGAGATAGAAAAAATAGCGGGAGTGCGTGAGAAAAAATAATGATTATTATAGAGAGATTAAGAGAGGCGTTTAAGAAGGAAATTCTCTCTTTCCATCTTGTGTACCCCATTTCCACCTTATTTTCTCATTGCTGCTAAACAGCTTTCTGATTCTTTTTCCATCGCTATCTCCCCCAGCGACCGTAGACGTCGCATCGCCAATGGCTAGACATCAGTCTTGGTATACCAGATGGCGGGACCTTGAAGCGCACACGGCCAGTGGGTTAAGTTGCAGAAATCTCCCACTGAAAACACCTACTAACTTCACTCGTGGTCTAGGTGTGTGCGTGTGCATTGTTTACACATAAACTCTTTAAGATCTTTGTCTTTATGTTAGTCAGTCAATTTGTTACAGTTAAATGTATTTGCAAATGTGAAAAACATCCTTGTAGCAATTCAGTATTTGTTTAACAATCAAGTATCCTTGATTTTGTTAATATTTCCATGTTTATTGCCATCATCCTCATAATATATATATATATATATATATATATATATATATATATATATATATATATTACATTTAGATAAAATTCAATACCCCATATGATCTATGGCCATTTCACCTGGAATGGGCTTGTTAACACCAAGGAGTTAAATAAAAATATTGTATGCTCTATAATAAATATATTGAGCTCTTTTCCTGTGGAGCAGTTTCAATATTTTATATTACTAGGATTCACTTGGATAAACTTACCAGAGATTTTTACCTATATGCGTGTGTGTGTGAATGAGTGTGTGCGTCACTGTGTGTATGTGCGCGTACACGTGTGGTTAGTGTCTCGCTCCAGAACAATAACTAGCATTACAATTTAAGAAAACATACGACTGAATATATATATATATATATATATATATATAAAAAAATAAAATGGACAAATTCCGACAATTATTTTAAGACATTTTTATGTTTATACATTCTTTTTATAGATACAAATATTTATGTAAATGCTCTATTTTATAATAAACAGCATTTATAACATTTACCGGCCTGAGTGTCTGAGAAATTTTTATAGAAAATATTTGTCCTCCGATAGGAATCGAACCTGTATCCTATACGAAACCATCATTTAGCCTGACGTGCTCTTAACCGATCGAGCTACAGAGGAACGATCGATTAGCAAGATCGAATTTACAGCCTTTAAACTTCAATCTTCCATCAATGTCTCACGTATATTTTTATCTGCTCAAAGCGTATCCAAATGTAAACAAATGACGCCACACATTATGAAATGGACAAAGTCCGCCGACAATTATTTTAAGACATTTTTATCTAATTTTTTCATTTTTTCTTTTTTCGGCTATCGTTACGTTTTCCGTTCGGCATGAGTAAGGGAGTACAAAAATTTTCCATAATTTTCATTGTTTCAAGCGCTTTCAGCCTCTTCTCTAGTCATTTTCAAGTGATTACATATATATATATATATATATATATATATATATATACGTAAGCAAATACATGGATATAGATCCGACAGTATGAAGAAATATATATATATATATATATATATATATATATATATATATATTATTTAAGCTTAATCTCCTTTATATTTCATTTTCTGATGAAGCTTAAATAAAAGCGAAACATGTTAAATTTATAAATGTTTTAAATTTCTTCGTTATCCTACCATGTATATATATATGTATGTATGTGTGTGAGTAAAAATTGTTGAAATTTTAATTATACAAGACAGTTTGGAAAAAGAACGGTTCCCTGCTGAAACGGCGACATCAGAATATTACTCTTATTTGACAGGTACAGAATCTAAATTGGTGAGACCAGACCTGATTCACGTTAATAAAATAAAATGCATAAAAGCTGAATTGAAGTTAGTTAAAACTCAATTTATATAACGATACAAGTGAAGTCAATAATCAAACGCTTAGTCCCACTAATAAATAGATTTTGGTGCTTATGAGATGAAATTCTTTAGATGAACACATCAGATCATCACTGAAAAATTAAAAGTAAAAGTTTTCCAAATTGACTTGCATACATAAATGCATACGTACATACATACGTAGGTAGATATATACCCACGTACATACATACGTACAAATGAACATACATACATACATACGTACGTATATACATATATACGTACGTACATACATACGTACGTACATAGGTACTTACATACATACATGCGTACATACATACATATATACGTGCATACATACACACATACATAGATACGTGCGTATATACATACATACGCATGTAATATCCTAATATCTATATCTATATCTACCTATTTTACCTATTTATCTCTCTCTCTCTCTCTATATATATATATATATATATATATATATATATGTATGTATGTATGTATGTATGTATATGAATTAAATATTAAATAGGTTAATATTATTTACGCATTTAAATGATCATTAAGGAATTGTATTCCTGACCAATGAAAACTCGTAAATAATTAAATAGGTCACACTACAACATGTTTGACATGCAGACTCACTCTACACCTTTCTGACCATAGCTCACTTAGATATCATTTAAATATTCATGGAGACCTACCGGACACTATTCATAACATACTTGATCTACATGCATTACTATATATATATATATATATATATATATATATATATATATATATAGAAGCAAAATATGGATATAGATCCGACAGTATGGAGAAAAATATACTGAAAAACAAACAAAAAAAATCCTAATATGCGATTATGCTGTTTTAATGTTAATATAATGTCAACGTCGCACATTTCGGTCTAGTAGACCATCTTCAGGACATATTCGTAAAACATAATTAACATAGACCATATACAATTTACAACATCGCCCACGTGATGACGACGTGATCATATTTAAACGGAACGCTGACCTTATAAAAAGATTTCAATTATCTGTTTGGATTGGTATTGCTTTTATGTCCATCGTCTTTTTCATAAAGATAGATAAATAGATAGATATATATAATATATATCATGTTTAAATATATTTTATTAAACCAAAAGATGAATTCGAATTCAAGTCGAATCCATTACATTCACTTATGTACTAACCATTGGGAAAGGTGTGAATCCTATTCTACTCCTTCCAGCTCATGGGTAAAATAGCAAGACAGACTGCGTTCTGTAGCCTTGGATGGCAACTGGTCTAGGAGAAGGATAACTCTGAATTCAAAACCTGCGGAGGGTCGTTTGGGGACCTTGTGGCACTTAGTGCACCAGGTCTCTGTATTTGTCCATTCAAAAAGGGTGGATGGTCACCACTATAATCAAATCTCATGTGCTGTTGTCGGGCTTTCGGTTTCCTAGGAACTGATCTGCTTGACCCTCATACGTCGAATTCGACGGGAGAGCCGGGAATATATATATATATATATATATATATATATATATATATATATATATATATATCCCCCCCAAAAAAAAATTTCGCTTGAAGATGGAACAGAGCTTACTTTAACTCAATTTAATTCAAATAATTATATTGAAGTTTTCGGCTCTTGTTTTGAAACATGAGACCTCTTATGTCGCGAGTTGGAATCTTATTTTTAAATAAATAATTATATATATATATAAGTTATGAAAAACTTGGTAATCCTTATGGATAGCCCCAAGGAGGATGAAATCCTGAGAGCTCAATGTAAATCCAGAGCTAATAATAATAATAATAATAATAATAATAATAATAATAATATATATATATATATATATATATATATACAAGTTTTCTGTACTTTTTAATATTTTTCTATGTTAAAATTCAAATATACCGTAACGCGGTATGAAAATTTGACGCGGTATTGAAATATTTGTAGTTGTTCATTGTTGTATTTGTATTCCTTTTTTTTTTATTACTTTTCTTTTTTTTTTTAATTATTTTATTTATTTTTTGCTTTCATGCACTTCATCCCCCCCCACGTTTCGTTAAGCCTTTCTAATTAACAAATGTCGCCGGTCTGTTGACCGACACTTTATCACCAATCGGGATCCGTGATTTTTTCGAACATCCTAATCAATGACACCATCGAACTTCTTTCACTGTCTCGACTCATCCAATGTATGATCTTAAATGTTGGAAAGGGAAGGAGAGACGATTCTCAGCTCTTTACGATTGTAAAAGAAGAGCCTAATTTTGGCTTATCACTTGATCATCAATAAATTTGCGGTCGACTTAGCGTTACATAGAGTTTTCATTATAGTCTGTGTAAGGGTATGCGTGTATACGCTTGTGAGTATGTGCGCCTGTGTGTGTGAGTTTGCACCACTGTTTGTGTGCGTATGTAAGCATGCAGGCTTGTAGGAGTGTGTACGAATGACTGTACCATTTTGTATAAATGTTTATATGCATGTGCTGATGTGTGTGTATGTGTGTGTGTGTATGTGTGTGTGTGTGTGTGTGCGTGTGTGCGTGTTTATGCGTGTTTATGCGTGTCTATGTATGTCTGTGCGCGTGCATGGGCGTCAATATGGCTGAGTGATGGCCTGTGACTGCGTGAATGGTTAGGATATAGTGTAGGATAAAGTTACTTAAATGTTTACAGCTTTATCTATCTATCTATCTATCTATCTATCTATCTATCTATCTATCTCATCATGTTCATATATATCAATCTCATTCTGTTCATATCTATCTATCTATCTATCTTATGTTCATATATATCAATCTCATTCTATTCATATCTATCTATCTATCTATCTATCATTTAATATTGTACACACTGAGGACTAGTATAATGACCATACCAGTCAAGCAATTAGTACAGGTATCATATAGCTGGTTATTGTTCTGATGGAATATTATAATACATTCAGATTTCAAGAAGGGCAGCAGAACAGATACAACAATGTTCTAGACGTAAATGGCGGTGTGCAACGTTCTTTCGACGAACACAAATAGGCAGACGACATTAGTAATTTATGGTAACTAACATCATATCAGGTATCGTAGACGAATAACCACTTGAAGATGTCGTTCACTGAGTCAGAAAATAAATCCAACATTACTTACATGAAGGTCGTTGGTATATTCCGTGCTAATAGGAATATATACTTGAAAAACAAGGTGAATAAAATAATTAAAGGTTTA